TGTGAAAAAAAACATAAAAATTTTATTTTTTATTTAGAAATAGATATCAAAATATATCAATTCAAAATATTGATGATAAAAACACTATATATATGAACCACGTCGACTTTGCCTTTAATTACTATATGACATCAGTTAGACGAAACCACTTTTGCACCTCTTCATAAATTAAGTTAGCCGAACCGGAAGTTCGACGAAACCACCATAATTCATCGAAATGTCTTGGGTACGAAAGACTCGAGATCTCCAAATTACTTCGAAATTATTTACGAAAGTTTTAGTCCTCGGAAACAAATTGGCATCAATAAATAACCTTAATATTATTAGTCATCAAATTCATAACATATTTTGCTTTATAACATACCTTATGAGCTTAACAGGCTGATCAGCTGAAATTAATGCTCGTGAAGTAGGTCGAAAAATATACCGGAAGTTGTCGGATTCATTTAACCTAATTATCGGCTAATTCAGAGACGAATAGATTATCTACATCTCTGGCTAATTCTATTTCAATATCCACTTTGCAATTATAAACTACGAAATTTATCCGATAAATAATGTCTTTTTTAAAAATTCTGGAATATAATACAAAAAAATGTGATGATAAGGCGGATGAGTAAGTTAAATATTGCAAGCCGTCAAGCACTATGACCCAATTAATTTACTATCCCATTCATAGAATTATGTGACCTTTCAAATTATATCCGCTACGTTTCTAATACCGTAATTCAAGCTCAACTGCACATTATTTTCAAAAAATAAATTTCTTGTCTCCACTTCTGTTCGCAATAAATCGAAGTTTTCAGAAATTCAGAGCACTATTTTTCACTCGCGGCGGTTATGCGTCGGTCATGGTCGGGTGATCACTATGAATTCAGCTTACCTTGATATGTTAGAATACAATATAGCATATAGAGTGGCGATGAAACGTCACAGCAGTGGGCGTTACCCTGTATGGTTGGAAATTTCGGGTTTGTAAGTGCACTAGTTGGGACTACGTCCCAACTAAAAATTAGAGAGAGCGTAAGCGTTCAAATGAAGGTAACAGGTGCGCTCAAAGAAAGAGTCGAATAGAGTAACATCCCCTGATAACATTGCAAATGGCGTAAGCGTCCAAAGGGAAGTAACTGGTGTACTAAAAAGAGTCGATTAGGATGACCTCCCCTGATTACATTGCAAATGGCATAAGCGTTCAAATGGAGGTAACTGGTGCGATCAAAGAAAGAGACGATTAGAGTGAACTCTTTGATTACGTTGCAAATGGCGTTAGCATTCTTAGGGAGGTATCTGGTGCGTTCAAAGAAAGGGTTGATTAGAGTGACTTCCCCTGATGACATTGCAAAAGGCGTAAAGGTTCAAATGGAGGTAACTATTGCACACAAAAAAGGAGTTGATTAGAGTGACCTCCCTTGATGACATTGCAAATGGTGAAAGAGTTCAAAGGGAGGGTAGCTGTTGCACCCAAGTTGATTAGACTTACCAGCACTGATAGCATTGCAAATGGCGTACGTTTTGAAAGGGAGGTTACTGTCAAGCTAAAAATAGTAGGTAAGAGCGACCTCCCCTGTAAACATTGCAAATGGCGTAAAAGGTCAAAGGGATGTAACTGTTGCGCCCTTAAATAGTTGATTCTAGTGACCTCCCCTGATAAAATTTTAAATGGCGTAAAGGTTCAAAGGGGAGATGATTGTAGCGTTACAAAAAAGAGTCTGTTAGAATAACCTCCCCTGAAAACATTGCAATGGGGTAAGAGCTGTGCTTAAAAAAGAGTTGATTCGAGGGACCTTCTCATAAATAAGATCTTATTTCTCAACTCCTAATATTATTTTATTTCTCCTAGTTAGGATTTTATAATCTGGACCAAAACGCCTCAGTTAATGTTGTCATCATATTAGAGATTTTGACTATGCGACCACATTCATGAATCGAGGACATGTTTGAAAGAAAGTGACTGTGCGTCCACATACACGCATCACAAGAGTCCCCTTCTCTTATGAGAAAATGACAAAGAAATGTCCGTCCTTTTATCTAAGGGCAGATTTAGAAATATGCTATTGTCTTATGTTATTGATATGGAGGCTAATTTTTACAGATATGTTTTGCATTAGTTTATATACAACAATAGTAACGTAAACCCAGCGGGTTATCAGTTTACGTCTTTTAAAAGGATGATAAATAATTTCTTTGAAAATTTTTAAGTTTTAAGATTTTTCTACTTTTCATTATATGCATATAACATAATTATTTTAATTTTGCAAAACATGAGCATTTCAAAACGTTTTATATGCATTAAATATTGGAGATATATTTCACACGTTGTTTTCAAATATTATCCTTTGGCATTGTTTCCGAAGTACTATACCAGGTAGATAACTTGAGCCTTACATGGCAGACTGAAGCTTAATAAATGAAACACAAAGCTTGCGCAGTAGACAGAGCTTCCGTGCCGGTGTTGTTTCATGCATTTAGATGCTCGTATCATAGTTATGTACCATTACATTTGAGTGTTTTATGTATATTTTTCTGAATGAAAAAAAGAAGGAAAATCAACAAAAAGTTATGAATAATATAAATAGTTTGGGCACATAAATATAAAAAAGAAAAACATTTAGGTAATTGAAGTTTATTCTAATCAAACTTTTAAGTTAAAGTTTTGTAAATGACAACGTTTTGTTGATACGAAATACCCGACTAAACAAATTTGCAACACCTTTGGAAATAACAAAAGAAACCTAAAATCCGAAAAAAAAAGAATCGAAAGAAAGCTTTCTTATCTAAAATATTTTGACAAACATTTATTATAAACAAACAGTTCAATGGATCATTTTTGACTTTTTGACACTTCAATTACAATAAGGATTTGATTTAGAAATTTGACTTAGTTTGTGAAATGAAAACAAGAATAGATAGGGTGCGAAAAGGATTCGATAGGAGCGTACAGGACTCTAGAAATTAAAACGAGGCTTTTGATATAGACTTGATAAGGACTGTGTAAATGAAAACGAGGCTTAATGGACAAGATTGGATTCAATGATTTCTATTGGAACATCACGTGGTGCAAATGCATTTCGAAGATGGAGCGAGAATTTTAAAAAATCTGCACAGATTTTCGTTTCATTTTTTACTAAATAAAACATTTTTTTTCCAAATGATATGGAAGTCAAAGTAAAACATAAACAATGATGAATAATATATATTTTATTCAGTTTAGCTCATGCATGACTAACAACAGTTTTACAATAAATATGTTTCGCTTTTAAGGACGGAAACATTTACTGTGTTAAATATTTTCTATAAAGTGGTTCCAGCTATAATCTAAAAATAAAAATCTTGTTTAAAATGGCATACATGTACGTCAGCAATTTGGCAGAATATTTCATTTGTCAAATGCTTAAACGTTAAAAGTTTCACCGTTGTTAATTTACTGTATACCATTATAAAAAGTACAGAATAAAATACTGGTTACCGAAATTTCTTCCCGAAATGTGATACAACACTGACTGTCGTTACTATAATTATAGTCTATTTCAACATATTTATAACATATTTCAACACATATACAGTCTATTACAAAATAATAATGGTATATGTTAACATATTTATAGTCCATTTCAACATGTGTAGGGCCTTTCATAATTATATACAATCTCAACATTTCTATGATCTATTTCAACATGTTAATAGTCAATTTCAACATATATATATATATATATTTATTTATGGTATATTTCAACATATTTCAACATATGTATGGTCTATTTAAACATATTTATAGTATATTTCAACATATTTATGAAACATATATGTATTTATAGTAAATTTCAACATATTTCATCATATGTATGAACTATTTCAACCTATTTATGGCCTATTTCAACATATTAATGGTCTCTTAAAACAAGTTTATGGTCTATTTCAACGTACATGTATTTATAGTCTTTTTCAACATATTGCATCATAATTGAGTTCTACTTCACTATATTCATAGTCTATTTCAATATAATCTATTTTTCACATTTGATTAAAACATGATTATGGTCTTCTTCAACATAAATGTATTTATAGTTGATTTCAACATAATCATGGTATATTTTAACATATTTACTGTCTATTTCAACGTATTTGTAGTCTTTTCGAACATATGTATATAATCTATTTCAATATATTAATTGTCTATTTCAACATATCAATGGTGTATTTCAACATATTTTAGCATTATGTATTGTCTATATTAGCATATTCATAGTCTAGTTCAACATATTTATGGTCTATTTCAACGTTCTTGTATTTATGATCTACTTCTGGATCAACATATTTTATTATAATCATGGTCTATCTAAACATCTATTTCAACATATGAATTGTGTATTTCAATATATTTATGATCTATTTTAACATATTTATTGTCTCTTTCAACATATTTATGGTCCCTTTTAACATGTTTATTGTTTTTTTTATCACACATGTATTTATAGTTTATTTCAGAATCAACATAATGCATCATTATTATGGACTATTTCAACATATTTATAGTCTATTTCAACATAATCATTGTCTATTTCAACAAATTTTCAATCTCTTTCAACATATTTATAGTTAATTGCAACATATTCAGTATCTATTTCAACATGTTTAGGGTTTAATTCAAAATATTTGCAGACTATTTCAACATATGTATGGTCTATTCTAACATAGACTATTTCAACATAATTATTGTCCGCCTCAACATATTTATAGTTTATATTTAGAAAAAATGAGATATAGACTTAAAAATTATCAAAATCTTAAAATGAAAAAAGCAAAAAACATTTACTAATAGTTTTTTTTTTAGAATTTAATCATAACACGCCAGTTTTCTGTGACTTTCCATCATAAAACTGATATAAAGAGATATATAAAATCCAAAAAATAAAAAGACTGAAATATAATAACTGTTTGCTATTTTCACTCAGTTACTAAAACACTTTACATAATACTTCATTCTTACAATAAAATATAACCTAGCGAGTTTGATGAAAACCACCTTAAATTTACCGAATTTACCACCCAATCCACACATGCTATATATAAAACCAATTACATTCTAAATTAGTAGTAATGACATACATTTATATATACTTATATTTCACTAAGGTCCTAATTTTGTTTCAGTCGTCCACATCAACGGGGTGTCCACAATGTTTGCAAAACATTCTCACACCATTTGAAGCGTCTCTGGTCTCCACTTTCTTTTTCTTGTCAGTGTCTCCGTATGTGACTATCTTACGTTCAGGTACGGCAATTGTCAGCTGATTCTCTCCTTCATCGTGTTCATTTAGAGCCGATAGGTCATTCGGATACCTTAGAAATAGTAACAACAAAGATTTTTTTTTAAGATACACATATTTGTGAACGTGGCGGCCGTAAATAACGCTCAAAATGTAGCACATTTAATAACGCCCAAAACGTAGCACATACGATAATTTTGTGGGATTTTTGGTTCTTTATTTCTATACACCTACCAAAAACAAATAATAATAATAAAAAGACAAAAAAAAACCCCAACAAAAAAGCCCCAAAAAACAAACAAACGCATATACATGGAATAGCATGAAAGCGAAGTCTTACACTGAGATTACAAAATCAGACGCTTGCTAGAATTTCTCTGAATTATTTTGGCATGTTGGACTTCATACGTTTCTCGTCTGATAATAAGTTTTATACATGTTTAACAAGATAACCTTCTAAAAATGTGTTTCTTAATAAACATACGATAAGACCTTACTTGATGACGTAACTTCCGTTTGAGTACGATTCTAGAATTTCTTCCACTTTACTATCTAACGATCCTTGTTTGAAACAACCATGGTTCCTATTGCCAGAGAGGTATTCGATATCGAGGCTCTGTTGTTTTGATTGGTCACGAAGATGCACGCGCCTCCTAGGTGACAGTCGAATAGGTCTTCCGGTATATTCTGTACTGGTGATCCCCTAACGAAAACAACGAGGGAAGAAATATTATGCTGACTGTTAACGTTCTAAAAAGATATACATAAGGTATACGTGTCTTCTTATTATAATCAAAGTATCGGAAGTGACTTCAAATCATGTATGATCAAATATATGACGTAATTCGGAAACCACGTGACGTAATCTTAATCATGGTGACAAATGTCTTGAAAAAAAAACCTCACAAAAAACAGCTGACGTATAGAAACAAACAAGGTAATATCATGTCTTCGTGGAGTAGTAGTGAGAACGTTTCGACAGCAGTCTTTAAACAACGATATTTTTCCGACTATTTCCTCTTTCCTGTAAATATTACCTTGGCGAACTCTACCATGTTGTCAAAGAACGCCGCATAACTTCCGTTGATAAGTTTCGGAGACATTGGAACTACATTGCTTAAAACCAAAGACATTCCGAATTCTCGAGATTTCTTCCAAGATGTCTGGTCACTCTCCTTGACTGGTTCCTTCTCGTGAGTTTCCACAAAAACGTCATCGTCAAGAGATTCTGAAATTCAAATTAAAATTTATAAGTTTCTTGCAAAAAGCATGTCTACGAAGTAAATAAAATGCTTATTACAGCAATTTAACATTTTATGATGTGGATGGAAAACGCATGTACAAAGTAAATAAAACGCCTATAGCAATTTAACATGTTATGATGAGCACAGAGAGTACACAGTTTTTTTTTAGAAGAGACAATAATATGTATGTTAAAATAATTTTTTACAGTGAAAATACGGAAAATGAAGATATTCGTTTTATTTCATCAATATTTCTCAACAAGTAATAATACTTAAAATTAAAGGCCCATTATGCCCCAGAAATGCTTTAATTTTTCTTTCTCAAAATATTTTTATTATTTATGTCCTGTTTTAGATTCCTAAAAGTTACTGAAAAGCCAATAACTTGAACTATTTCTTGCTTCTATGCCTTTTTTGAAATTAATGCAGTAATTTAGTATTAAGTATGGAAGTCAACATACTCCTTTTTTACATTTTGCAACTTTTAAGTTATGCAATACATTTTTGTTCAGGTGATAAACATCTAACATGCTCTAAAACCAATACTTAAATATAATTAAATTCATATTTGACCCTTTTAAAAGATTGAAAACAACAACAACAACAAAAAAAAAACAAAAAAAAAAAACATTTGTGTCTGAGGTATAGTGTGCCTTTAATCTGAGCATCACTTTTTACAACTATACAGCTACCTGATGACCGATGAAATCTTCTTCTAGTCTACAGTGACTACAGCTTCTTTCATTATCTTTAATACTAGGATAATGTTACAAAATAAATGATTTATTATATTTTGTCATACCTGACTCATCACGCTGTATTTTGGAATGAATGTCCTGGATAATTTTCCAGTCCCGGTCAATATCCGACTCGGTGGTATATTGTGACGTCACAGTAAAACGTATGATGTATTTTCCTTTAATGGCGGCCGGGACCATGTGCAATTTACCCGTTCTGTTTAACCGTTGAAGTAGGATTTCAGTACGTGCATTGTCGCCCTACATAACATAAAGACAAAAATAATTAAATAAATAAATATATAAAATAAAAAAGATACATAGATAACTTTGGATACATTGAGGTAACACTGAATAGGGCCTCGTGTAAGATACTCTTTTAAACCATCGCATATATTTATAGATATATAGATCAAGCTATTAACATTATTACCCTGCATGTCTATTTAGATCTAACTATATAACTGTTGTTTTAATTTTTGTTGCAGTAATATTAAAGTATAATGTAGGCCTACATGTTTGAAAACAGTATTTAAATCATAGTTAACTTTGATAATTTTACACTGAAATTATTAAAATATTATTTCACAGAAAGCTGTAACCGAACTAGATCTTAACTTGAACGCGGATAAACAGAATAAATGAAATTTCGTTCTACATGTATATACAAAAAAAAAATAAAAATAAAAAATGTGGGATCAGCAGTCTGATCAGGATCCATGCTGTTCGCTATCAGTTCGCTATCAGTTTCTCTACTGAGGTGGTAAGAGGTGGTAAGCAAACAGCATGGATCCTGATCAGACTGTGCGGATGCGCAGGCTGGTCTGGATCCATGCTGGTCGCAACAGCACTATGTTGTTTTTGTCGTGACGCGGCTCAAGTAAGTATTTACACACATCAAACAAAATTTTAGAAATTCTACAGAATAATTTTTTTCAAAGCTGAACACCTTCTTGTCATGATTTTTTAAATAGAAAATTAATGAGTTATACCAGTTTAATAAAATTCATTTATCACATACTTGTGCCGATTTTGCATCTCTATAAAAATGGTAGGCCTATTGCACGTCCGTGCATATGTTTTGACGTGACGTCATTTACGTTATACAAACGCGCTAAATAATAGCGCTACACTATAGGCTTGTCAATGAAAATTGATTCTTTTGTACTCTAAACTGTCTTTATTTTGGGTATGTGATATAGAATATTATATTCGTGTAGGTTCATTGCTGAATTTATTGAATTGGTTGAATAAAATAATATTTTGCTCGCCAGAATATAACTTTATTCATCTCGTTCAATAAATTCAGTATTGAACCTACACTCTGATTAGCATTTATCTGTACACGCTGACTCACCTTGACCCGGAAAACAACCATTCCAAGATGGCGGTCGGCAGGAATCTCAAAACGTGTGTCGCTCCTCACTTTTGCCTCGAAATATTTAGCTAATCGCACGCCCTGTAATGAAAACATATTCTAAATTAGTAAACTGATTATTGTGATAAAAATGTGCCAATTAATTATATTTAAATTGATATATATATATATATATATATATATATATATATATATATATATATATATATATATATATATATATATATATATATATATATATATATATATATATATATATATATATATATATATATATATATATATATATATGAATCACGTGACATCAATTCTTGGTTTATACAGAATTTATTTTAGTTCGATCGTGTAGGAAGCTATAAGCTCAAAGACGCAATTTCGAATCCGTTCCTGGAACCAACTAGTACTGAGCAATAAGTGTAAAGTTTCTTGCTCAAGGAAACAACGACTTGCACCTGACAGGGTTTGGACCCATGCCGCTAGCCATCTTTAGATAACTAGTCCGACGCGTTAACCACTCGGCCATAATTGTTGTCGAGGAAATATTTAATTTAATGGAAAAAGCGAGATGTAAATGATTGATTGTTACATCCGGTTAAGATTCGAATTCAAAACAATAAAAACAACAACAACAACAAAAAAACCAAAACAGACGGATGACTTCGGTTATTTTATCTTAACTTTCTGCTAAAGGTATGGTTGCAATTTTACCTTTTAAAAATAATCACTATGATGTATGTGTTTGTTGTAGCAAAATATTTTCTATTATGTCCGCAAAACAACAACAACAACAACAACAACAATGTTGTCATTACCTCACGAACGTGTTTTTGTAGGCCCTCTACTCCGAATGATCTAATTACGAACCATAATTTCAATGCTCGAAATCTTCGGCTCAGCCCAATTTGCCAGTGCTGGAAAATATTTGTAATAATAAATAAATCAAAAGTATTTCCTGAATTAAAAACTGTGAACATTATTTATATGGTTGACATTTATAAATAAATGATAACCTCGAGTATGCGTAACTTTAAAAAAAGGAAATAATAACGTTAAAAATGTTGAAAATATACAAAAATAATGTTATTAAAGTCATTCTTAACCCCTTTTTTCGCGATAATATTATAGGAAATTCACATACTGCGCATCTTTATTCATGTGTGCAATTATCAAGTTTGTTGTTCTTTTTGCCAATACTACTGAGACTATAGATAAGAGTAATTAAAAAATTCTTGAAACAAAAATAAATAAAAAAAAAAATTAAACAAAATAAAAAGACAAAAAAAAACTTAGAACATATAGGAAAACTAGCGGTGTTAGAGGTCGTTTTACGAGATTTTTTACAGCTATTCCTCGTAAATTGAGGTTATGTCGGGTGTATACATTAAACGACAGGCAAAGGAAATAATACGACCTTTTGCCATCCTAATTGTACATTTTAAATAAAGGAGAATAGGAATGCATGGTGTTAGAGATTCTAGATTTTATCTCGGACAACAAACTACTAAATTCATTCAGATGCAACACAATTTTGATATAATAATATAGAAGGGTGATATATTACCCAATACGAACATAAATAACAACTCACCATATAGTCTATAGCAGCACCTATAAAAGAAGGAAAGAAAACAAGATTAGTTTTAATATAAAAACAACAATTTTGAATTTTTGTGTTTCTCTAAATTCGTACAATGATTTTAGAGGCAAGAATCAAGAACCTCAGTTCCACCGAAGAAAAAGAAACCAACAACAACAACAATAATACAACACAACTTGCGGGTAACGTACTGGTCGGGGTCCATCAACCGAAGACTTTTTTAACATATTTCCATTATCTTCTTTACAACTAATAAGACGCCAAAACTTCAGATATATAGATAAAGCATATATCATGTATTGATTCTTTACTGTATTTTTATGTTTTTAAAAAACGATTAAAAGATGATTTAAAAAAAAATCAATAAAAATCAATAAAAAATAATTAAAATACAGATGATAATAAAATCATTCGGACATCGACGTCTTTATTTGAGATTTGTTTTTACTCAGCTGTTACTTTACCACAAGGACACTAAATGAAACATTGCAAAAAATGTTAAGATTATATGTGGGTACTTTTATTCATTGTCTGTGAATCATGACACATGTTAAAGAACACAGACATTTTATATTACCCACAACGTCTTAAACGAAAACACATTAATTCTCTTACTTAATTTTCTTTTCATCGTTAACACCAAATGATCGCGCGGAGTGTGGAAACAAATATCATTTGTAGTATTTAAAATGATACAGATCAGCCATTAAACCGGAAACACCGTCTATTATAAGAACAACACTAACGTGATAATTACTCCTGTGTCTTATCGTTTAATTGAACTGTCACAGCACGGCCATCAAATTGCACTGATCTTCTAATAAAAAGCTCATATGTTCGGATTTTCTTAATGGAATAATACAGAATGATTGGTACCAGGAATGAACACTCTTATCTTTAATCGTATTGAATGAGTTTAAAAATACATGACGTCATTTTTATAATTGACGTGTCATGAATCGTTCTCGTATAAATTGCTATTTATAGCCCGTCATTGCGTTTTAACACGTAGTTAATGTATCTTTATTAGCAATGAATACTTTCACATATTGTATTCACCGTCTTAACTAACGGTTATTTTGAATAATTACATTTATATCGATCGTTTCGTTATTTAACCTTCATTTGCCGTAAAAGACTGATATCTTTTTCGCATATTTTACAAAGAATAGTTTTTATTTGAAAATGGCACAGTTAAAGTATTGCTCCTCCTCTCAAGGTTTCTAAATGTTTTTGTATTATGTAAATACATACATTAAGTCCAACATGCCTCATAAAGAATGTTAGTTAAATTTCATATTTCAAATTTATATAAAATCATACAGACAAAAACACAAACAAATAAGACACAATTATGCAAGTAACGTTAGTAAGGAAATATAGTTTTCAAATCGTCACCTTACTGCAATAACTGATTAACTTCTATTAGATTTAGATGAACTTATACCGTTACTGCTAAAATAGGCGATGATATAATATCATCCAGCATGAATTCACGCACAGTTCAAATTCTTTTTTTTTGTCAGGGCGAAAAACTTTGTCCGCCAGTATTGTTACATTTTATTAATATCTAGAGCAGTTTTGAACAGTAGAATTGCATAGCAAGTTTTTAATAACTAAAAGCATTTAAGGCATGGAAATATAATACAATACCAATAAACAAATTTATATTCAAAGCACGACCAGACCATTTTCATTCAAATTTAGCATGAGCACGCCATGGTGACCACTATTACTGCAACAATGATTAACCGAACATTGTGGAGAAAACCCCACTAATGGAAGATGATTCATTAAAACTCATTGTGTACTTAATTCCTTTGCAATGAACTGGTGCAAATCCCAACAAAGCCAAACGAACACCATAGATTTATAAATTATATTGCATTACATTAATTATATTGCATTACATTAATTATATTGCATTACATTAATTATATTGCATTACATTAATTATATTGATTTTGGGGGTTGATCGTTCACATTATTCTAAAAGCAGCATTTTTATGCTTCGTGAATCAAAACAGTACGTTGTATATATAAATACTGTGAAAAAAAGTACCAATACTTACCCGAATTTTCGTGTTTTAAATACAAAGGATCAACGTTGAATGTCCTATGCAGGGCACCACTGTTTTTAACCCTGTGATATAAATAGAAGAATATATTTATTATTATATATTTATCTATATACATGTACTAAAGAAAAAATGTGGACTTAAAAGATATAAATTATTAATAATAACTTTATTGCAATTCTGCGTTTTGTATTTGCTCAACTCAAAATTCTGTTATGTTGATACACACCAGGGTCATAAAAATTATTAACAGATTGGTGATCCATATCATCGGTTAACATCCTGAGTCTCCCCCCTTGACCCTAATCGGCCAAATCGGTGGTTTTCGTTGGCATATTTGTTGGCTAAGATAAAATTTAAAACCCTGCACAAAACAACTTAAAACCTATATTTTGATATCTCTTTCTAAACATCATTCTTGATCTATATATCTTTTTCTATTATTTTTGAACGGAGCACTCCTTGACGAAACTACGTTAAACCCAATGTTTATTTCATTTATTAAGCCTAATCAATATATGAGCCGTGTCACGACAAAACCAACATAGTGGGTTTGCGACCAGCATGGATCCAGACCAGCCTGCGCATCCGGGCAAACTGATCAGGATCCATGCTGTTCGCTATCAGTTTCTCTACTTGTAATAAGGTTGGTAAGCGAACAGCATGGATCCTGAACAGACTGCGCGGATGCGCAGGCTGGTCTGGATCCATGCTGGTTGTAAACCTATTATGTTGGTTTTGTCGTGACACGGCTCATATCTGAAGAATGAATTTCAATCACGTGATCATTTTGGCATAAGATAGTCTCTTTTTTGTCATGATATTTTGATTTATTGTTCATAAAATGAAGCCGTTATTGTCAAGTATATTAGATAAATGATGACGAACGTTATTGATAGTACAGCCCAGGAAATAACATAAATATTAATAGAAGTATGAATAAATAATGATTAAAAGAGTATTGGTCAGGTGATTGTTTGTTTGAGTTTTACGTCACACCAACACAACATAGGTCACATGGCACCATTTACTAGTGGATGAAGACCTCATTATTTCAGGCTCGAACGGGCACCTGAGTAGAACCACCGGCGTTCCGTAAGCTAGCTAGCATTCTGTCATGAAAGAATCCAAAGTTACCGTCAGGATTTGAACCCACAGCGGTGAGGGGCTTGGTCAGTTGATATATTATAATTATTATAACATCATGAATTACAATTATATATAACCATACTGTCATGTCGTGTAAAACCAACATTTTCATAGTATAAATCACATGAATTGTTTGCTACATTGTTGATGAGCATTTACAAAAAGTACAGGCTAGACTTTCTGAGTCGTGGGAAAATATTTAAAACCATGATCAATCCCTATCATTTTATAGAACAGAACAGAACATATTTTATTATTCAATATGACTTGAACAAAACAGTTCCTCGTCATTAAATAAATATACAGCATACATTAATACAGCGAGAGTGAAAAATACAAACTTACAATTTTAACATTTGGTATGATCAGTAATATACATCAGAATTATTCATACTTTCCTTTCTGATACTAAAAGATTTATAACAAAATATTGCTAATCTATTCAAAGTATTTGTATTACATGTATTTTACATGTATTCAATGAATATTTTAACCATACTAAGATGCTATTAATAGTTACGTGGTATGTACATGTACAACTTTTCATAATTACATAGTAGGACAAATTAAAACAAAATGGTATTCATCCTCTGTATCGTTAGGTTGCAAAATGGTAAATTTTCTTTCCGGTCTCAGAATCTTTCTATGTCTGCCAGTCTCTATATTTATAGTGCCCTCCAACAACATAATTGTTTGTAACAATGTAAAACTTAATCACCTACCACATAGCACTACAATCAAAATGCACCATCATCCATTTCGAAGGGTTGAAAGCAAACGACTGCGCATGCTCGACTCCGGACATGAAGTGCCGGTATTCAGGACATATGAACGCTGTGCCCGCGTATGCAGCATCTATATGCATCCAGATACCTTCAGCTTCACCTGTAGAAATATATAATGTTCGATTGTGTTAGAAGCTGCAAGATTAAAGATTATAAATAATACTTAAATTTGATACTTGATAAAAAGGATAATTTCTATACAGTCACTTTTGAAATGTAAAATGAACATCTTCTGAAAACTCACATAGAAAATATGTAAGGTTTAAAACTCTACACACTACATGTAATCACAGTGCGAATACATAGTGTCATTAAAAAAAAACCTGGATGTTTTTATCAGAAAAGACCACACTTTAGAAGTAATAGGGAATTCAAAGAAAAGTTGTCTTCCATCTTATAGAAATGAAGGGGAAAAAGAAAAAAAACATATACATGTATTATACATTCACTTATACATATTAGACATATTCGTGAAGAATTTATTAGATTTTAATAAATTTCTGCAATAGAAGTATTATGCCCAAAGGTGAGCATAGTATATCTTCAAAGACATACTCATGAAGACGGTTCCTGGAACGTTATCTTTTGTTTATTCTGAAAGACTATATTTACAGCCAAGTGAAGTCACAGAAATGATGTTTATCTTTCTTCTCCTTTTTAGAAAGTGTACACATGAGTTTTATAATGTTTAAATGATGGATTTATGTTAGATGTTTAATCACCTAAACAATTTAACGCTGGACATGTATTATTAATGTGTGGTATTTTGACTTCCATACAAACTTCCACATCACTTCAACTACATCAATTACCGAAGAGTAAAAGACACAAAGGACTGTTCAATTATATTGGCGGCGTGGCCGAGTGGTTAACGCGTCGGACTAGTAATCTAAGGATTGCTGACCGCGTGGGTTCAAACCCTGTCAGGGGCAAGCCGTTGCTTCCTTGAGCAAAAAACTTTACATTCATTGCTTAGTACTGGTTGGTTCCAGGAACGGATTCGAGAGTGTTTCAATAAGCTTATAGCTTCCAACACAACCGAACTAAAATAAATTTGTGTAAACCAATTATATTGGCAATGAGAACAGTTCTTGTCAAAATTAAAACAGATAGAATTTTATGGCTTTTTAAAAGTTGTCTTCCATCTTATACAAAGAAAGTAAAGAAAGAACAATTTAAATAAACAGTGTGTCAAAAGATTAAAATGCAAGGGAAAAAAACTAAGCCTGGAAATGTTTACATATTCTATAAAAGCACTGTTACACAAGCGATGTGTTCAATAAATACAACCCTTCGTCATATGATAGTTAGAAAAGGAATAAAAAATTACAGACAAAAATAATAATAAAAAGCATAAAATAAAACAAAATACTTACAGATCGGTCCGATTTCCTTTAAACTATCAAATGCGCATGCGCCAGTTGTCCCAACTGTAGCACAGAGCTGAAATAATGAGTTTCAATATTATAGTGCAACCGTTCAAAATGTAATAATTTTGTTAAGTCTCAAAACATATAATTATCACTAATAAAGTATTAACATCAAGGTAAAAAACTTATTTAAAAAAATATGTATATATGTAGATAAAGATTGTTCAAGGTCACGAACTCTTATGGAAAAAAAGGTATATAAATCATCTAATCATTCTAGGCACTAAATGCCAATGGTTCATATTATATTTAATAAATAATTTATTTAAAAAGACATATATGTGACACGGGCATCATATCAAAACATTATATTTATAAATAATTTCTTTAAAAAGACACGGGCATCATATCAAATATGTTTATTGAATTTATTCAAAAGTTTTCTACCCTGTTTTATTGAATCATCAAAGCATATTTTGGTTTATAATATAGGTTTTCTGATAGAATTTCTAGATGTTCAAAGTAATAAACTAAATATAGATCAGCGAAATCCTGTGAAATAAATAAACTGCGACCTCGTGTTTAAAGGAATTCCACTAAGACGGTTTTTTTGTTTTTGTTCACATGACGGTATTGAATTCCTTTAAGTAAATTATTTTGAACAGCGCAGTCTTTTTTCCAGTGAAGCAGAAAGACGTGACAGACGACAGACTGGCATTGATTTGATAAGCAAAAATACATGCAGCAGAATTTGTCCCTTTTTTCGTGACAAAGATATAGGATTCGAATAAAATCTGCTTACATAAGCCGCGCCAAAACCAACCAACCAACCAACCAACCAACCAACCAACCAACATAGTACGGTTGCGATAAGCGCAGTCTGATCAGGATCCATGCTATTCGCTTATAAACCCTATTACAAGCACCGAACAGCATGGATCCTGATCAGACTGCTCGGATGCGCAGGCTGGTCTGGATCCATGCTGGTCGCTAACGCACTATGTTGGTTTTGTCATGGCGTGACTCATATATTTACGTAGAATGGTATGAGTCCTGCTGCCAGGTCTTCGTCTACTGCACGTTGTAGTGTGTCACCTCGCAGACTTAGATGTTCATCGCTTGGTAAAAATCTCATCTTCACCAAGCCAATCAAACCCGCCTTCTCTACTGATGAATGCGCCTGTAAATATATGCATGTATGTTTGAATCTCTACTTCGCAGAAATTGATAATGATCTTGTAACAGGATTATTTTGAAAAGAAAGAAAACAACAATACGTACATTCTGTCAAGTTATTGTATCGTCATTTTACTCATAAGTTTAACAATCTTTAAATCTTCATTAAGATATTGACAAATGATTTTTCGTAAAGAGTGGAATGGAAGGTTATTGATCAAGGATAGTTCTTATCATTCTCCATACAGAAGAAGTAGCATAATTCTACTTTAACTTAAGGGATAGGGTGCTACTCATAGGTTGAAAATGATGATGAAGATTTTTATGATGATGATTATTATGATGATGATGAAAGTAATGATGATGATGATGATGATGATGATGACGATGATGATGATGATGAAAATGATGATGAAAATGATGATGATAATGACGATTATAATGACAACTACGACGGCGACGACGACGATGATGATGATGATAATGGTGATGATTTTGACGATTATGATGGTTTAAAGAAAGAAAGAAAGAAATAAAGGAAAGAAAGAAAAAAAGAAACAAACAGACAAACAAAAAATGAAATAATATTATATTACCTGATCGGAGCAGTAAGCTACAAGTCGCGCATTAACTTCGGCATCATCCAGATCCTCATTGTTTGCACGATAATGTCTGATTGCATCCGATCGTGCTGCCAACAATGTTACAAACGTACAGTCACTAGCTGTCGTCTGTAATTTAAAATTAATTCTTTTATTTCCTCCAGTTATGAAAAGCAGAACATATTATATATATACATGTATGTATACAACATGTACAATCATTTCTTTAACACCAAGATTAAAAAATTGACATTTATAATGTATAGTGACCCCTTCCCCCACCCCCAAACAAAAACAACTTAACAAAAAAAAATCAAGAAAAAAAAACAACAAAAAAACCAAAAAAACACACAAACAAATATAACAATGCATGAATATTACAATATTTTAAATATATATGATTTAAGGTTTGTTCATGAGAACTTGATTTTTCTGTTTATCATATACATTTTTCTTCTCCTTTTTTGACAATTTGAAGTACTCTCTTAAATGTTGTGTACTGGCATAATTTAGAAGAAAGTCGTCCGGCAAGAGACCAGTAAAATACGGAAAATATGTTTCACTGCAGTAAAAAATATTTGTTTTACAGTGATAATAAGGAAAATGAAAACACGCATTTTACTTCATCAATATGTATATTTACTTTCATTTGTAAGTATGTAATAAATATATTTTTAAACCACTTTCAAAATATTTTTTTTTTCTTGGTTGTGTTTATGTACATGTGTTTGTTACACGGGGGAGGAAGTGTTACACGAAGGATGGAGTTCTTATGATAACTAGTTCAGGAGTTCTTGTGATAACTGTCACGGAGTTCGTCAGAAAACATCTGTATATACTACAAAAATACTCGTCAAAAATGGTTATTTTCATCGTTCAAAAATAAGTTTAGGTGCTAAATTAAACTTTAATGATTAAGCTCGTCTTACATCTTGTATTATGTGTCAAAAACTAATTCACAGGCCATTTTTTATCGCCTCTTGCTTCAAATCAGGTAATTTTGAGTAAAATTTCCAAATTACATGCCAATTCACAAGTTTTGGCCGGTTTATTTCTGGTCTTCATCCTTGTCATACACAATTACCTAATTATAATGCAAAATTGCAAACATAAAGCACCGGCTAACAGATTTATACCCGATTTTTCAAATGTCCCGGAGTTCTTGTGATAACTCTGAAGATGTCACAGAGTTCTTATGATAACTTTTGTTATTGCCAGTGTGTTTCTTGAGCTAAATCACGGCACGTTTTAGCGTTTTTTATTATTCAATGAGATTGTAAATCATTATGAAATGTAGTACGCAACCTTTGCGCAAAAAATAGGATATATAATGTTGGTTTTGAGTGAATTTTAGTTCATTGGATATTATTTCTTACCCCCGTTTCTTTTTCATAGTATTTTTTTGTTTGCACATTTTCGTAGACTGGAAAAAGGATTTATGTACTGGTTTCCTAGCAGTTTCCGGCTCCTAGCAGTATTCTGGCCCTTTATCATTTTCATCCGGGCATACAGTCTATTTTTTCTCAGTTAAGCATCTATGTTACTTCATCAACCAGAGAAAAAATTGTTTTCTATGTAATACAGCAGTTATAATAGTACAGCGATTAATATGTTTCAAAGTTTTGTCTGTTGTTTTAAGTTACATTAGAGAACTTGCGACACTTACAAGCAATACCTGGGGAATTCTAGTTTGAATGCCCATGCACAATAACTGAAATCCCATTCTAGGTAAATCACTACTTTTAAACAATATATTTGAAGACGACACGGAAAAGTTTGGGACGTTATATCTATTTGAAAAACCCAACTTAACATTGCTTATTGGTACTGAATTTTATTTAAAATAAAAAAGGTCCGAAAACTGCTAATAAATTTTTTAATTAATGTGAGCAAAGGTGTTATATATCTCAGGCCTTTATTCCATTAAAATGTAAAATAAAAGAGCAACATTAAAATAGGTAATGCTGGACAGGTACCTAACTTTGTTCTGTCAAAGTTTGCACTCTTCGGTAGACAGATTTTTATTTTATTTGTTAAAAAGTGCGATTTGGGACCGGGAACTGCTATGAAACAAGTAGGGCATTTATGTACGTAATAAATGCGCTTTGAAATACTCAAATATGGTATTTTCATGTATATTTTTTCAGTCGATGTTTGATGAGTATTTCCCCTTTGTAATCTTAGTGGAGGAAACTCTGCTACTTTTGCTGTAATTTATAACAAAAATATATAGTCAAACTTAGTTCGCTCGAACCTGGAGGGACAGTTCAAATTTGTTCGAGAGATCGGTAGTTAGAGCTAACCGCAGTTGAGTTTTTATCATTATCGTACTTTTTTAAGACATAGGTGTGGAAATTATCCTGGTTATTTTGTATATACTTATTTATTATGGTATTAAATGATAAAAATTACTTAGCCCTTAGGTAAGGGAAGCATGCCTATATATTGTCTGCTTAAGAAAGGTGGTAGCTTAAAACATGTGACACTGAGAACAACGTGTACGTTTTGAGACATTTTTGTTTTGTGGTTTCAGCCATTATACTGCTGAATATCAGTGGCCGCTGGTTCAATTTTTACTCTAGATAATAGCCTATCACCTATTTATCCTTTGCAGACACTTAAGACCAACGTTTTATCCAAGGATGATCGTACTGCATTTCATAATGATTTACAAACTTATTGAATAATAATAAACGCTAAAACGTGCCGTGCTTTAGCTCAAGAAACACACTGGCAATAACAAAAGTTATCATAAGAACTCTGTGACATCTTCAGAGTTATCACAAGAACTCCGGGACATTTGAAAAATCGGGTATAAATCTGTTAGCCGGTGCTTTATGTTTGCAATTTTGCATTATAATTAGGTAATTATGTATGGCAAGGATGAAGACCAGAAAAAAAACGGTCAAAACTTATGAATTGGCAAGTAATTTGGAAAATTTACTCAAAACTACCAGCTTTGAAGCAAGAGGCAATGAAAAATGGCCTGTGAATTAGTTTTTGACACATAATACAAAATGTAAGACAAGCTTAATCATTAAAGTTTAATTAAGCACCTAAAACTCATTTTTGAACGATGAAAATAACCATTTTTGACGAGTATTTTCGTAGTATATACAGATCTTTTCCGACGAACTCCGTGACAGTTATCACAAGAACTTCTGAACTAGTTATCATAAGAACTCCATCCTTCGTGTAACACTTCCTCCCCCGTGTGTTATACAGCATCATATAAAACAGCAATAGAGCAAGAATGCAAAATATCACAAGAAAACTCCGCAATGAAGTGCTCACGAATTTAAAGTCTGCCCCTGAAGTTATGCATAGAAAATGCTACAGACTGCTTCCTATAAGTTAGAATCAGACTGGTAACGTAGGTAATTTACTCTAGTATATATGAGAAACCGGTGTAATAGTTATTTAAAATTACAGTAATTATTGTGTTACCGTGATGAGGTGAAAATGTCAGATATGAACTGGACGTTGATAATTTCACATATTTCAACGTCCAAGTCTCCCGGGCGCTTACATACTACTCTGAACTAGTTTTATTGAAAGCCAAGCATCTTAAATATGCTCTTGAGAAAGAAACGGTGTGATGCAGCTTTCCGTGTCTATTGTATATTAGTTAGCTACGATGACGACCAGGTTTAGATAAAAACAAAAACAAATGGGCCTTGGTGGGTGGGCAAAAATGACGTAAAAGGTAATCAAAACTCTAAATAACTAACAGAATGACGAAAAATGGAAAAATACTTATATATAAGAAACTTAACAACCTATCAAATTCAATAATACAAATTTAATTTGTTCCAATCAGAAAACTAAAAAATAAACCGTTGACCAACGAAACATGTTGGTTGATATCATCAAAGGTTAACTTGATTCAAATAAAAACTTTATCATAATCACAAGAATTAATCGATTTTATCAGGCGTATTAAAGTACGCTTTATAATATAAGATATAACGTAAAATATTTTTTTATCGAAAGAAATCAAACCGAACCAAAATATTCGATATTTTTAATCCCATACACAAATCTCACAACGTCTTAATGGACAGTCCTATTTTGTTTACGTGACCGGTGTTGAAAAACACTACGTGAACAAATATTGAAGATATTTGCGTATTCATCGCCACGAATGGACGCTGGTCATTCTGTATAAATATACTATAGTGTAATGTGCTATAAGAGTGATAACATGACCCTATGTAGTAAATTAATATGTTACAATGGCTCACTAGAACGAGATAGAAGAAAGATTACTGTAATAGTATATACATGTACTCTGATATTGACCTGTATTTTTTTACAAAAAGTTGGCTGTTAGCCAATCAGGGAAAGGTATTTCAAAGCTATTTATAGATTATATAATAATCTCTATTATATAATAAATCTTATTTCATTTATCTATAATACAAATAATTATATTTATATAACAACAACAACAACAACAACAACAACAACAATTCATTTGCATAAATGTCATTACAACATTATAGCCATATAGTATATATATAATGTAAACAGTGGTACAAGTTCAAATGCAAGAAAGAAAAAAAAGTTAATATATATAATAAACTTAAGTGTATTTTAACATATATATATAAATATGGGATTTATTTTCATCTTAAAAATGAAAATTAATATATTCCCACTTGTGGCTTCCATCACTCGCAAAATATTTATTTTCATACCACTCGATGAAAAAAGAAAAAAGAATACAAAAACAACAAACAAAAAATAAAACAACAACAACAAAAAAAAAAAAACAAACAAAAAAAACCCATGAATAACCTCTATTTACATCTATATGTAAACTTAAGAGATATTCGAACTACCGTATATGAAGTGACTGTACATTATGTACTTTTGTAATTGTAATTGTTTGGATAATCGTGGGTTTTATAAAATTAATATACAATGTATCTGGTTGCTTATGTTTTGTTTTAAAGCAATAAAGCAATTATTGTATATTGTTATAAAGTCATTATAAAGACCTTGAAATAGGATATATATATTTTCGTTTGAGTGAAAATATATAGTATATTTTCACGAAACACATAATAAAATCAATATATTTCACGAACATATACATGGTTACTTTCCTTAATACTGCGCCATATAAAGGTAAAAGTGTTGTTTATTATAGTGTCACCCGTATTGAAAGGGCCAGCCATTTCTTACATGTATAAGACACTTTTTGCTTGCATACCATGTACTTCCGAACACCAACCACTATGCCAGGCGCCAGGCGGATAGAAATCGGTAACCATTCATTTTAACTACCTCGCGGTCAACGAAGCGGTCATTTCGAAAAGAGTCCCACGAGAAACATTCATCCTTCTATTAACACTCCATGTGGGGCTCGAACCTTCGACCTCCCGATCCTTAACCACTAGGCCAACGGTACCAGTTTTATGTTTTCATAGTAGTGCCTGCTTAATATTTCCTGAGAAAACAGTTATATACACTTTGCCTCTTTCCATACTCTTTTTATTCAAAGGGAACTATGACATGTAATATCGAAAATGTTTTTGTTTTGTTATTGTTTTGTTAGCAACTTCCACAAAGCCTTGCTTTTAAGCAGCACGCCTCCAGATTCATGTCAATTTTCATAAAAAAATTGGAAATGTATTTCAAAGAAAAAAAAAGTGAGGTGAACAAATAAAGTTATTTACATATTGCAATCGGCACTTACATGTATACAATCCACGAACATTACCAAAAAGCAATCAACATAATGCTAAAACAGCCGTTACTAGGTGATAAAATACCGCAAAATCAGTGTTAAACCGCACATAACATGTTAAATATAACTTGAATCTTGACTGTTTTTTTTTCTTTTCTTAGAAGTTCAGTGCATTTTTCTTAGTTATATTTTCTTGAAATATTTTTGGCTCATCTGGAGGCGTGCAGCTTTAAGACAAATTTACCTGTATCACACCGCCTCCCATCGTCTGCTTGTTACTATGCAGGAACTCTGACGGTAAGCCAATCATCTTGCCAAGCCAGTCCATTACAATCGTCTCCAGCTCTGTGGCGGCCGGACTTGATGCCTGAAAATGAAAATGAAAATTAGAGATTTTGATAAATTTGGTACATTGGCTTAGCTTGCAATTTGAATGTGATCATTGTAATTTTGAGCGATTCAAATTTATTATATACTTAAAAATGAAAAATTGAGAAATTTTGATGAAATAAAATGCGTACTTTCATTTTTCCGTATTTTCAATGTAACAAGTTATTTTTTTTACGGAAGTGAAACATTTTTTCCGTATTTTCACACTGGTGTCTTGCCGGACTACTTTCTAATAAATTTGGCCACAACGCAAATTTAAGGGATTAAGATGTCAAAAAAGTAAAAAATAGTAATAATAAACAGAAAATTCAAGTTGTTTTCTATAATAATAGCGTTATTTTCATCTTGTGATATGAAAATTATCAGATTTTATTCATGGCTACAGCCACTCATGAAATATTTATTTGCATTCCATTCCATGAAAATAAATCCTGTATAAATAAAACTTAGATATCTTCTATGTATCAAAACGTCACATGAGTGCAGTAACGGGTTAACTCCTATCACATTATATAATGAGTTAGGAATTAAAATAATAGTAACATTGATACATGTAGTATATTTTTTAGTAATCTTTATGAAACCTTCCAATATCCAAAGTCTTCGTGATTGGTTTTAATTTAATAGTTTTAATGTTTGTTCACTTGTATGTATGTTCTTGAAAGGAGTTATCCAAGGAGCCGATTGGAAATAAGCCTTCCGGGAGTTCATGGGCAAGTTATTGTACACTACTGTATACATACATACATTCCAGATATACAAAAGTCTTGAACTAATAATTTCGTTTCCTTCATGTAAAAAAAAACCCTAAGCGGAGACACTTTAACTTGTACATTTTATGGGTTTTAAATGAAACGTCGTATAGCCAAACATTTTAAAAATATAGAATAGACTGTATTGATTTTCTTTTACGTTAATTTTTTTCCCATCAGGCATCTCGAGCTGTCCATGCTATTCAATATAATATAATTAGCACGCGCAGGCCACTAGATCACACAGAACGATACTTCACGATAATTCACGAGAGTTCTCGTGGTTCCATAAGGTCTCAGTTGTTTAACTAAGTTACAGAGATTGATATGTTGTGACAATCAGAATTAGAGCCTTATTATATATATTATTATATATAAACATGTAAGCCGACCATCATGTGGTTATCAGTTTAAGTGATTTGATTCTGTGTCCAGACAATGTAAGGCACTTGCTTAAATAAAATTGCATCGAGACGATACTGTAGGCATTTTATTCAAATGACCCATTGACCGACCGACCGACCAACATAAATAAATAACTAAAAAAAACCAAAACACATAAAAGCCCACAACCAAAAAAACATTAAAAAACAAACAGAAATACGAAATATTATCATTTCCCTTGTGTACTTTAGGATTTGTTTTGTCATTTCCCTGGTGCACATTAAGATTTTTTTCCCTCATGAACCTTAAGATTTTTTCTATTTTTTTTTTATCTTTTCCATCACTTACCTTAAGATTTTAAGATCTTTTATAACTTCCCTGTGTACCTTAAGATTTTGATATCATTTCCCTCATGTACCTTAAGTTTATTTTTCCGTACTTCTCGTATATATACGTACAACTTGATCTTTATTATAGCGTTATTTAAAGAAAAAACAACAACATATCATTCATTCATTCATTCATTCATTCATTCATTCATATACGGTAATTGTGGCGCAATTATATGCCACTATGACGCTAAATGTCGCACATGCCGCTAAATGTCTCAAAATATTTTGCCGTAAAATGTCGCAATGATGACTTAAAATGTTGCACTATTTTTCCTTACCGTTAAATGTCACAACACTACCATTAAATGTCGAAATATCTAAATTCATGTTAAACAACTCGTATTAGGTCAATATTGACGTTATGTAGGTGATCTAGGGACTAGCTATCTATCAGATAGGAAAACGATTTCTTGTGATATACAAAGTAATTGGATTTTGTTTTAAAGTTGAATGAGCATAGATCAAAAGCAGTTATGTGCATATGACCACTGTTAACAACACTGCATCTTGACACTGCCGGAACCGATATGCATTTAGATATTGCGAAATTTAAAGGTAGCTTTGTGAGATTTTAAGGTAAAGGAAAATGATACGACATTTAACATCATCATTGCGACATTTAACGTAATCATTGCGACATTTGACAACAGAATATGTTGAGATATTTACCGGTGGATGCGACATTTAGCGGCAATAGTGCGCCGTTTAGCGCAAGTGCGACGTAAAGCGTCGCTGCGACATATAACGACGCCGCAATCACCGTTATAAATAAAGTTTTAATTTGTCCTAATGTAATTAAAGATATGCATAAATAATAACAACTTACAATGTTATGAGAAAATTCTGCCAAATAATGACGGGGGGAATGTCTTGAAAAAAATCTATAATTTCAACATTCATGATACTCTTGAATCATTTTGAAGATAAATTCAAGTTATATTAAATTCAATATAAAGATAGATAATTTCGTAAATTGGAGACAATATTTGAAACATTTTGGACTTTATTTGGCGTAATAAATTTTGATTTTGTAATTTCTATCTGAATTATAGATATGAAGTCAAGTTTTTATGTTGAAATTTTGATCAAGTCATCGCATGATCAATTTTGCCAAATGCATAGCTTTCAGTGTAAGATCCGCTGAATGATGACCTTAGATGATGATCAAAAGCAAGCAACGTTTTGTTCTTTAAACATATTTGACTTTTCTTTTCAAGGAATAGATGATTTTTCATTACTTATACTTTTAAAAAAGCAAAATCCTTCAGTATCATACAAACACGTAATGTACGTAAAAAGTAAAAAGAGCATTACAAAAGTTCAATAAGTACGTATGGTACTTTTCAATAATTCATTATTCGCCATTTTATTGAAAATCCTAAACAAATTAAAGGGTTCACCCGAGTTTTCAATGTTATCTCGATATCTGCCATATGTTACATCTTTCTCTAAATGCAAATTTGTGCAAAGAAAATTCAGATAAAATCTCTAGCAATTATATATTAACCTTTTGTTTCCAAAGATTGTGTTAAGCTAATTATATTTGTAAATGCCGAGGTCATCGAAGGTGAGGCGCACACATTTTCATATACGTATTTTCGTTACGTTCAATATATGACTCATACGTATTATCAAAATGCTTATAAATGGCGGCGTTGATACGATCTTTAATATGGGTTTTCACGAGCAAACCTTAATCGTGTATTTTATTTTCTGCATGGGAAGTATTGTGTTGAGGATGAGATAGTGTTTTGGTCTGAGGCCTTAACTTATAAAGTTGAAAATATGATCATTAAAACTATGACGGTTTGGCTTAAAACCCATTCAATTATAGTACCAACAACTTGAAATAAGTCAAAAATACAACACATTTTATTCACTCTTACACTGCCGAGGAACAATTTGCGAGAAACAATTGAAACATCGCCATTTCAGTGCAGTAAAGGGTTAACTCCTATTACATTAGTAATAGAAAGAGCATCTCAACACGAGGATATGTGATTTGTACGAGTGGGCGTAGCCCCCGAGTATAAATCAGATTGCCGAGTGTTTCGATGTTCTTTCTCTTTTGTATCATAGTCAAACATAAAAACCCGTTCCCTGATACCACAATATGAAACCCCAGAAAAAATGTTACCAATGAACGAGCATCTGAATATGATATAAACATCGCTATCCCTTTCTCTGTCGTCACAATATGTAAACCCCGGACATAGTGAACAAATCAATATAATGGGCATACTCTTGAGTGCAGGTAACTGATACCTGCACTCCAGTTAATGCACTGTCTATGTATATGTATACGATTTAACGCTGACACATTTTCAACAGAAAGGTCCTCAAACTATGATACAATAAGGAGTTAACACGTCACTGCACCAAGGTGACGACAGGTCTGATATTTTAGCATTAAAGAGATACCACTGATTCTTTTTTTTACGTGACGGAACTGAAAATTATTTTTCAAGATTAATATTCCATTTTATGTAGGTCTAGACCAATAACTTGTGTGCACAATTTTAAGATCATTCGTTTACACTGTACTACAGAATAAAGTTGCTAATTTTGAAAGAAAATGACCCTAAATTGAAAAGCGTTGCAACACTTTTCACTCAAGTCGGGCTAAGGTTAGCACAGAATTTGATTTACCTTTTTTTCCGGTGTCTATTCTTAATATTCGTTTGTATATCTGTCTGTTTTTACGTGCAGCAGCTTATCTAATTTTAAAAATTTAACTTTCGTGATTTAGACTTTTGCATGTCGGTGGTGTTCTGCCACAGAAATACATATTTTTTAAATTCTTAAGAAATGTCAAACATAAGTTGAATTTGGTTTTAATAATGGATTTTGGGCACGTTAGACTCTTAACAGCCGAAGAAAGTGGCGTTGAATGAACAGTAATGTGTTGTAAATGTAGCAAAATGTAAACACAGTAGTATTTAAACTTCAATATAATCTATATAGTTTTACTTATACTAATTGCAAACAGAGCAACTGAACAAAAATAGTTCATTTATAATGGCAAATGTGTCTTTTTGGAAACTGTAACATCATCATTATCATCATCATCATCATCATAATCATCATAATCATCATTACCATCATAATCATCATTACCACCATCATCATCATCATCATAATCATCATAATCATCATTACCATCATCACCATTACCACCATCATCATCATCATCATCATCATCATCATCATAATCATCATCATTATTATTATTACAAATTTTTTCTAATAGTGTTTTTTCTGCCGCTTAACAGTTTTTTTTATAAAAGTAGAATTGTTTGTTACTCCCTAGAGGTGTTCCCGTATTAAGTTCGTCTATTTCCAAAAACTAAAAAAAAATGAGAAAAAAAGGATAGCTTTTCTGAGGTATAATGGGCCTTTAAGTGTTGACAGTATAACTAAATGAGAAAAGCTATTACGCCGGGGCATGTCTAATATATTTGCAACAAACAAATGTCGACCAGTAACAGGAACTGATTCGATTTGTGCAACATTAGTGGGCTCTAATTATTTGTGCATATAACGTCTAAGTGTCAGTCACATTGTGATAATCTGACATCTAGTGCAGAACAAATTGAATTTTGAAAATCGGAAAGTGTGATGAGGAAAAAATGGACGAACGTAATACGGGAACAACTCTAGGGAGTTACAAACAATTTTACTATTATAAAAAAAGTCTGCTAAGCGGCAGAAAAAAACACTATTAGAAAAAATTGTAATAATAATAATAATAATAATAATAATAATAATAATAATAATAACAATAACAACAACAACAACAACAATAATAATAATGATGATAACAATAAAAAAGAATAATAATAATAATAATAATAATAATGATAATAATAATAATAATAACAATGATAATAAACATGGTGCAAATTAAGAAAGAGAAGTTTGAGAAAAGTATAGTTACAAATCAATTTGAAAGCTTTACAACAAAAGCGTGAACATTTCAAAAAAAGAAAAAAATCAAAGTCCTAAGAATTTAAATGATATTGCTATTATTTCGATATACTGCCAATCAAATGAGGAGATCTGCAAAACTTTTCGCACGGGAAAATACGCGTGCATTTGTGTGTTCTTTACTCACCCACGTGAATCCTATGCAGTTAATAGCATCAGCCAGCATATCGCCAAGTAGCGACGGGAAACTGTTTAGGGCGGGAAAATATGCGTGCATGTAGGGGCTCTGCCAATGTGTAATCTGAAACAGAAGAACAATATCTGGTAAGTTCTCTCATAGAAAGAAGTTTGCATTATAAAATCATTTCATTTATGAAATATATGCTTCTTTTTCGATAGGAAGTACCTTAATTCTTCAACATATTTGACGTGTGTTTGATGAGTTTTTAAACTGAAGAAGAAATACATTTCAGTCTAAGAAATGCTGCTGAAGTGATCAAGAAGATGATGTTTATTTTTACTATAATGATGATGATGACGATGATTGTGATGATGATGATGATGATAGTCTACTGATGATGATAATGTTGATGATGGAAAAAAAGTTGATGACGATGAAAAAGTTAATGTTGAGAAAAGATGATAAAGACACGGCGATGATGATATAATGATAATAATACTTACACCCGGCATTATCACTCTTTCAATGTCATTCATTATAACGTTCCAGTCTTCTCCTTCATGCGGGGCGGTGTCGGGAACCAGTTGCCGCATATATCCAGGTTTTACATTCGGAAGCACTCGGCGATTACGTATATTTTGTAAATAATCGGCTATATAATCTACCATTTCCTTTCCTGCAATACATAAAATATAATTAGAAAATGCAGAAATTTATTCAAATCTAGGGAATAAATTCTTACAAAATATGTCTGAATCTAATATGTCTAAATTAAAAAACTGAATGCACCCCACATGAACTTTATCATGTAGGTTCGACATTAAACGGGAACAACCCCCACCCCCACTCAACAAAAAATAGAAAAGAAAAAAGCAACAACAAAACAAAAACAAACAAACAAACAAACAAACAAACAACAAATAAACATAAAACAACAACAACAACAAAAAGAAATACAACATTGTTTGGGAAGTTGCATCATCCATTTCTGGTCAAATTGATTTGCTTTTAAACGTAACATATCTTTTATTGTTTTTCCGGAGCCACAAGAGGCCTCATTATAGGGGTTCTACTGTAAACGTCTTGTCAATTAATTGATCCACGGTCACTTAGTATTCATTGCTAAATTTCAAACACGCAACACTTTAAAAAAGATTCATATAAGTATTTAAAACCTTATACAATAATCATGCGTTTCTTTTTAAACTCACAACACAAGAAAATAAAAGAATAATGTAGAGGACATTTATGTCCGACAATTTATAGAATATCTTTGTGTTCTTAGCAAAATATAAGTATCAAAATAATGCGTGATCGTGTATAGCTGTGTTTCGATGTGATCAACTATGCAATGTCTTTATTTAAAGCAGCACGCCTCAAGATTCATTCTAATTTTCATGACAATTTTGACAATGTATTTAAAAGTAAAATATTGCCAAGTGAACAAAGAAAATAATTCATTTAAACAATTTACCAAACGACACTTACAATCTACGTAAATTAACCCCCCCCCAAAAAAAATGATAATAGAAAAAATAAATAAAATAAAGATAAATGAAATAAATAAATAAATAAATAAATAAATAAATAAATAAATAAATAAATAAAGGCAAAAGTAGCCCCCTTACTGCGTTAGTCACGCAGTAGAATTATTGTAATAAATACTGCAAAATCAACTATTAACCACACATTAAATTATTTAAAACTTTTGTTTTTACTTAAATATCTGTACAATTTCTTCAAGTTTGATTTTCTTGAGATATAGTTTATTGTGACCATTTTTTAGTGTATTTTGGAAGTTACACTAACCAATGTTAGTTAGATGATAAAACCTTTAAGTCTTTATAAAGGTTTGCCATCCTATACAGAGTCTATTCTAGGATGGGGGGATGGGGGATGGGGGGATTCACTCATATTTTTGAGGCATCCCCCGTATTTTTTTCAGAAGCAGGGTAAAACATTTACATAGAGAAAGAAGGAAAAGGATAACAAGATGTAATAAATTCTCACTTTTCGATAAAAATCCCCCCTATTTTTCGAATCCTAGAATAGACCCTGCCTATGTGTGTTTCTTCCAAAACAGTCAAAGTACTAAAATATATTTTGTTTGCGTTTTGCTACTTTATGGCAAAAAAATATACATGTATACAATTATTCTAGTAATTATTCGAGATATGAATAATATGTATATGTTTTTGGAACCATCTACATTGCAAATGCTGAATCGTAATGGAAAAGTGTCAAATATAAACATGATATTTTAAAATGAAAAGGACCGAGTAATTATTCGAGATATGAATAATATTTATATGTTTTTGCAACCATCTAAATGCTAAATCGTAATGAAAAAGTGTCAAATATAAACATGATATTTTAGATTGAAAAGGACCGACAGGTGTCACTGGCCGCATATAAAACGAATGAGTGATATATATTAAATAATAAATTTTACTTTTTTCTCTAAATTAACAATAGGTTAGTGTTTATTAGTAAGCATTTAAAAAATCAAATTGTTCGACCAATTTAATATACATTTAATATACATTGTAGTAAATGCGTACTAATAAATACTAACCAATTTTGTGTTTGAAATATTTTTTTATGAAACAGTCGATTTACTAGACAGATTGATTTACCATACGAACAGATTATGTTAGGATTCATTTGAAATACTACAATTCTATTGGACAAAACATAATGTCAAACACTAAATGGAATTTATTCATTGGATCATTTTTAATGTTCATTCGTGTATTTAATAAGATAGTTTTACAAATATTTTAAATTTTAATAGGAAGTGATTTATTTTTCAAATACATAAAAAGTAAAGAAATATATTTAAGTATTTTCTTTTATCTCTTTCAAAAGATACTTGATTGTTTTTAAAACATTATTTCAAATTATTAAGAATGAATGTCTTTGTATATTTCAATATTTTTTCATTACACAAAATCATTGTAAGGGATATGCATCGATGAATAATAAAAATAATAGTTAAATACAATGTAACTATAACCGTTCCTAGCGGTCGAATAAATTACGCGTTAGACTTATTCAGTGTATTTTGTAACTTATAATCACTCGGTGACATAACTATTCCGTCCATCGTGGCAAGGTATGTCTATAAAAATTTCGTTTTTTCTTCTTTGACTGTTTCTTTTTTCCCCCGAAACTATATAATTCAGTTACAAAATTTACGAGGAATTTGACAACTAGAACATTCAATCGACAAAATAACGATCTAAACATTAGGTGCTTTTATCATGTTTTCAAGAAATGAAATCAAATCTTTTTCTTATTATCATGTTAACAAGCGGGTGACTTTAAAGGCAAGGAATATTAACTTGAAAGAAAAAACTATCTCACCATGTTTCCTGTACTGTTCAAAGTCCATTTCTTTCGGTTATAATTCCGGAAAGTTCTCAATTAAGATCAATTTCTTACTTTAATCAAAATGCAAATAACTTAAATCACTATACAGTACTAAAATCACAATACTGTACTTAAAACACTTTACAGTATTTAAATCGCTTTACAGTATTTAAATTACTATACAGTACCTAATTCACTATATTGTACTTAAATAAATCACCATAAAGTGCTTAGATCACTTTTAAGTACTCAAATCACCGTAAAGTACTTAAATCACAATGACAAATTTAAAACACCGTAAAGTGCTTAAGTATATCTTTCTGATTTTCAGTTATTTTAGAATCAGTCTATTTGTGAGAAATAAAACCATGTGTATTTCTCAAAATGAAAGCCCTTGTCTCTCAGTAAAAAATGTGTATTTTAAATAACGTCATCAAAATTACTGATGGAATTTGAAAAGAGTGTTCAGCCACGTATTACTAATAAATTTTATCAATATCTACAGCTGCATGCATTTTTAAACATTAATAGTTACTTCATAATATAATCATCAATTCAAATTTACAAACAAATGTTAACAAGTTTTTTTTTTTGTTATCTTCGTTAGCTTAGAAAAAATTCGATTTTTTCCCCTAAGAACTAATTTTGTTATTATAAAAAAATACGATTTTAATCAATTTAATCCTTTGCGCTGTATGTTTTTTTAAAAAAGTTGTTTAATTATTTCCTGTACCAGAGTAGTCCAACCTGAGCAAATAAAGTTACTCCAATACTGATGTTAGCTGTTGAATAAACGTTATGCCGTTGGTGAATTCCGTTTAGAACTGATATCCCACAAACTGACCTGACAAATGGAGAGGCCCGAATGCTGTATTGATTTCTCATGACTAGTAGATTAACTGTACATTGTATTTAACTATCAATGTTTTCTATTGTCCATATAATAGTGTAAAATTATATTAGTGTAACATAATGAACAGTGTAACATTATCATAGTGTAACTTTATATAAGTGTAACATTATATTAGTGTAAAGTTATAATAGTGTAACATTATATTGGCGTAACATGATAATAGTGTAACATTAAATTAGTGTAACATTATATTAGTAAAACATTATAAAAGTATAACATTATATAAGCGTTACATTATAAAAGTATTACATGATTTAAGTGTAACGTTATCAAAGTGTAACATTATAATAGTGTAACATTATATCAGTGTAACATTATAATAGTGTAATATTATAATAGCGTAATATTACATAAGTGTAACATTATAATAGTGTAACATTATATAAATGTAATATTTTAATAGTGTTATATTTAATAGTGTAACATTATAATAGTGTAACATTATAATATTGAAACATTATATAATCGTAACATTATAATTGTGCAACATTATATTTGTATAACATTATAATAGTGTAACATTATATAAGTGTAACATCATAAAAGTGTAGCATTATATAAGTGTAACATTATAAAAGTATAACATAATATAAATGCATTATTATAAAAATATAATATTATGTATGTGTAACATTATAAAAGTATTATATTATGTAAGTGTAACATTATAAAAATATAATATTATGCAAGTGTAACATTATAAAAGTGTAACATTATATAAAAGTGTAACATTAAATTAGCTGAACAATATAAAAGTGTTAATTATGTAAATGTAACATTATAAAAGTATAACATTATATTAATGTAACATGATTATAAAAATATAATATTATGTAGGTGTAACATTATAAAAGTATAATATTATGTAATTGTAACATTATAAAAGTGTAACATTATATAAAAGTGTAACATTAAATGAGCTTAACAATATAAAAGTGTTAATTATGTAAATGTAACATTATAAAAGTATAACATTATAATAATGTAACATTATAAAAATATAATATTATGTAGGTGTAACATTATAAAAGTATAATATTATGTAAGTGTAACATTATAAAAGTATTACATTATGTTAGTGTAACATTATAAAATTATCATATTATGTAAGTGTAACATTATAAAGCATGTAACATTATAAAAGTATAACATTATATATTTATATTAAAAGTGTGACATTATAAAAGTGTGACATTATAAAAGTGTAACATTATAAAATTGAAACATTATATAAGTGAAACATTATAGAAGTATTTTATTATCTAAGTGTAACATTATAAAAGTGTTATATTATGTAAGTGTAACATTCTTAAAGTTAAATATTATGTAAGTGTACCATAATAAAAATATTATATTATGTAAGTGTAACATTTTACAAAGTATAACATTATGTATTTATATTAAAAGTGTGACATTATTAAAGTGTAACATTATTTTAATGTAACATTATAAAAGTCTGACATTATAAAAGTGTAACATTATATTAATGTAACATTATAAAAGTGTAACATTATATTAATGTAACATTTCAAAGTGTCACATTATAAAAGTGTTACATTATAAAAGTGTGACATTATATTAATGTAACATTATAAAAGTGTCACATTATATTAATGTTACATTATAAAAGTGTAACATGATATTAATGTAACATTATAAAAGTGTAACATTGAATTAATGCAACATTATAAAAGTGTCACAATATAAAAGCGTGACATTATAAAAGTGTGACATATAGTCAACTCTGAGACAACTGTTATGTTAATTTTTTAAAGATATACTGTGCTAAAATTTAATATTAGAAAATAATGATAATTGCCACACTGTATTTTTGTAATTATCAAATAAACATATTCGACTTCACACAATGTAGATACACCATGTTAAAACTGCTACACACTAAAGGTTCTGTTCTTCAAAAAATAACAGCAACAACTAATATTGTTGGAAATTGTCGATAAATATTGCAAAAAAGTTATTTATCGCAAATAACATGTAAATTTTACTTGATTCTTGAATATTCTTGTTATTTTTCTCTTAAAATCTTAGTACATTTTTCTCAAGTTTGAATTTCTTGAAATATTTGGCTCATTTGCCAATTGGCAGAATAAACATAACTGTATACTGTTTAAATAGTATCATTATAAACTATTTTCATACACACCTAATTTTATAAGATCAAAAATATGTTCAGCTGTCATCGACTTTTATTGAGATAGCGTTTCTAAATGATTATAACCCAAGACATTATCAAACACGGATACGTAATAAAAAATTTAAACACGGATATGTTATAACATTATCAAACATGGATACGTTATGACATTATCAAACACGGATACGTTATGACATTTTCAAACACGGATACGTTATAATATTGTCAATCACGGATACGTTATAACATTTTCAAACATGGATACGTTATAACATTGTCAAACACGGATACGTTATAACATTGTCAAACACGGATACGTTATAACATTGTCAAACACGGATACGTTATGACATTATCAAACACGGATACGTTATAACATTATCAAACACTGATACGTTATAACATTGTCAAACACGGATTCGTTATAACATTGTCAAACACGGATACGTTAAAACATTATCAAACACGGGATACGTTATAACATTGTCAAACATGGATACGTTATGACATTATCAAACACGGATACGTTATAACATTATCAAACATGGATACGTTATGACATTATCAAACACTGATACGTTATAACATTGTCAAACACTGATACGTTATAACATAGTCAAACACGGATACGTTATAACATTGTCAAACAAGGATACGTTATAACATTTTCCAACACGGATACAATAACATTTTCAAATATGGATACGTTATAACATTGTCAAACATGGATACGTTATAACTTTGTCAAACACGGATACGTTATAAAATTGTCAAACATGGATACGTTATGACATTGTCAAACACGGATACGTTATAACATTGTAAAACACGGATACGTAATAACATTAACAAACACTGATACGTTATAACATTGTCAAACATGGATACGTTATAACATTGTCAAACACGGATATGTTATGACATTATCAAACACTGATACGTTATGACATTTTCAAACACGGATACGTTATAATATTGTCAAACACGGAAACGTTATAACATTATCAAACACGGATACGTTATAACATTGTCAAACACGGATACGTTTTAACATTGTCAAACACGGATACGTTATGACATTTTCAAACACGGATACGTTATAACATTGTCAAACACGGATACGTTTTAACATTATCAAACACTAATACGTTATGACATTTTCAAACACGGATACGTTATAACATTGTCAGACACGGATACGTTATAACTATATCAAACACGGATACGTTATAACATTGTCAAACACGGATACGTTTTAACATTTTCAAACACGGATACGTTATAACATTATCAAACATGCATACGTTATTACATTGTCAAACACGGATACGTTATGACATCATCAAACATGGGATACGTTATTATATTGTCAAGCACGGATACGTTATAACATTATCAAACACGGTTATGTTATAACATTGTCAAACACGGATATGTTTTAACATTGTCAAACACGGATACGTTATGACATTGTCAAACACGGATACGTTATAACATTGTCAAACACGGATACGTTTTAACATTGTCAAACACGGATACGTTATGACATTGTCAAACACGGATACGTTATAACATTGTCAAACACGGGATACGTTATAACATTGTCAAACACGGGTTACGTTATGACATTATCAAACACGGATAAGTTATGACATTATCAAACACGGATATGTTATGACATTATCAAACACGGATACGTTATGACATTATCAAACACGGGATACGTTATAACATTGTCAAACACGGATACGTTATAACATTATCAAACACGGGATACGTTATGACATTATCAAACACGGGATACGTTATAACATTGTCAAACACGGATACGTTATAACATTGTCAAACATGGATACGTTATATCATGAACAAACACGGATACGTAATAACATTGTCAAACACGGATACGTTATGACATTATCAAACACGGATACGTTATAACATTATCAAACACGGATACGTTATAACATTGTCAACCATGGATACGTTATGACATTATCAAACACGGATACGTTATAACATTGTCAAACACGGATACGTTATGACATTATCAAACACGGATACGTTATAACATTATCAAACACTGATACGTTATAACATTGTCAGACACGGATTCGTTATAACATTGTCAAACACGGATACGTTAAGTCATTATCAAACACGGGATACGTTATAACATTGTCAAACATGGATACGTTATGACATTATCAAACACGGATACGTTATAACATTATCAAACACGGATACGTTATAACATTGTCTATCACGGATACGTTATAACATTGTCAAACACAGAAACGTTATTACATTGTCAAACACGGATACGTTATGACATTATCAAACATGGATACGTTATAACATTATCAAACACGGATACGTTATAACATTTTCAAACATGGATACGTTATGACATTGTCAAACACGGATACGTTATAACATTTTCAAACATGGATACGTTATGACATTATCAAACACAGATACGTTATGACATTTTCAAACATGGATACGTTATGACATTGTCAAACACGGATACGTTATAACATTGTCAAATACGGGATAAGTTATAACATTGTCAAACACGGATACGTTATAACATTGTCAAACACGGGATACGTTATAACATTGTCAAACACGGGATATGTTATAACATTGTCAAACACGGATACGTTATGACATTATCAAACATGGATTCGTTATAACATTATCAAACATAGATACGTTATAACATTATCA